GCCCAGAAAGGCATTACACAAAGCTGCTCCACAGCAGACCTGAAGAGAGAGTAGTTTAAAGATGCTATTCAAGAAATCTAAGTATACTTTATAAGTACACAAGAAATCAATGACGCTGCCTCCAACTGAAGGTCTTATCATTTACAGGTTCAGAGTGGTGTGGAATAACTATGGATCATACATTAGATTACTTCAGCAGAAAATCAAACACACATTAGATTACTTCAGCAGAAAATCAAACACATTTAGGAACAGAACATTTAATTTAATCAACTACCTGATCTTGGCACCTTACTTTATAATTCTGAATTTAAAAAAACTAACCAGTGGCCCTCCCTGGTGGCGCAGCGGGTTAAAGCACTGCAATGAGAAGCTAAAGCCACTTCCGCATGAGTTCGATTCCTGCCTGCCCCGGAGGAGACCACATGGCGTGGCAGACCTCTCCTGACCTGCCCGCTGCTCCCCTCAGCAGTGTACTTCGTTGATCTGCCTGTTCTGCTCCCCACTCTGTCTCTGGTGAAGTCTCTCACTGCCCCTGAGTCTCTGGCCTGTACCCCAGTTCTGTATGTACAAATAAATAAATCTTTAAAAAAACAAACAAACAAACAAAAAACCAACCAGCAAATATCTAGCAATTATGATCATTCAAAGAAGAGATGCCTGATAGCCACCTCCACTCCAGATCACTGATTCTGTCTGGATGCCAAGGCCCATGTGTTCTAGGGTGAAGTAAGCAGATCATCGATCTGTACCAGCATCAGTCTCATTTCGAGCCCACCTGGCAGCTTCAGTCAGCAATGAATTCAGCTGTTCAGGCTGACAGCCCGGCAACGTCCTACCCTCCCTGTGCACTCAGTCAGCAGTTTGGGTCAGTGATCCAGCATCACTGTCTAGAGACCAGAAGAGCCTCAACTGCAGAAACCCAAGAACCAAAACACTTCCTCACTTGGGCATTTCTTTTTGACAATCACTCTGGCAAACGATTTTGCCTTAATATAACCTCAGCCTATACTATGAAAAGAGGCTTCTAATTTTAGTAAAATCTTCTAGCACTTTGCCTACTATGTCGCTCATGTCACATGGCAGGCACACTCCAGTTCCTTTACTTTTGGAGAGGCAGTGTTTACACTGTGTTTACTCTGGTGCACCCCTACGCCCCCAAACTCAGTTAACTGTCCACTGATAGACTCTTAGTAATACATGCAGGGAATGAACATCACATTACAAGCCCCCACTTTAAGCTTTCCCTTCTCTAATTCTGAAGGTCAGTTTCCACTGCTGTGTCTGGACTTGTATTGAAATGTTTGGCATTAATAAAACAAAGAAGGAATTAATGTATTTTTTTTAAATTGTTGGGAGTGAGAAGGACTCTACAAAGGCGGATTTTACTTTCTAAGTAGCATTATATTGGTCTACATTAATAATTTTCTCAGCAGGCCTTCCATGATTTTACTTTGAACAACCAGCTTTTGTTTCTCAGATCCTCTTACATGTGACGTTTGATCAAAGTTTTAAAATCCACAGTTAACAGAGGTGGAGAAAGGTGCTGCCCAGAAAGGCATTACACAAAGCTGCTCCACAGCTCCTCTCGATGCTGCTACCAAGCTGGATCATAGGCATTTTCCAGTTACACTATTTACATGTGCAGTTAAATTTTCTATAGATTGAATATGATGTTTTACTGCATGTCATCATACTTCTCAGGAAATGTACCCTATATAACACTAAACATGCTGAAAGAAATGTCTCCAGTTCTTTTTCACACATGTGTTTTTCAAAGGTAAGTTCAAGGTTGCAACAGTCAAACTTATCTATTCAAGGTCTCTGTAGATAGCCTGAAGAAAATAGTCTATTTCCTTAGCACAAAAAGATTCTGAATAATACAATCAGCTATAGTACTAACTAGACCTAACAGTAGCCATTCTCATGAAATGGGATATAAAGAGACAATACTAAAGTCATTTCATTAATTCATGCCTAAAAGTCCTTATCCAAGTAAATCTCTCCCCAAAGAAATGGAGGAAAAAAGATCAGTAAAGGAAACATCTCATACTTCAACATGCTATATATAAGGAAAGACAGCTGAAAGAAAATCTTGCAGGGAATTTTATCCCTTTGAACTTTCAAGTAAACTCTTAAGTAAGATTATGCAAACTTACTAAAGACCGGTCCTGATTAGAGGGGAAAAAATGCACCCCTTCTCCAAGTCAGTTCTGGAGGCTTTCTCCAGAGCTGTTAAGGTTTGTGTTGGGTAAAGAAAGCCCTCCTAACAAACCAGCATTCCTTTCCACATGATGAGAGCTAATTGGCCCCCTGCAGACTGAGCAACCAATCACATCAGCTTCAGCTGAAACCAGCCCCCACGACGTTATAAACAGAGGAATGTGAACTGTAAGTCCAGTCGGAGAAGAGAACCCACCAAGACTTGTAGACTGCAATTACCTCATACAGACAGACTCCACAAGTTTCCTCAAGACCTACCTGTGCATACAGGCTGACCCAGCAAAAGAACTGGTGAGTACATGAGATAATATTCATTCTTACTGAAATTTCCTTAAGGGGACAGAGAAAGAAATTGATTGATAAATAGGGATAGTGCTATAGATACTGCCAACAGATTTTTAAAACAAAGACATTACCTACAGACCACAGATTAAGGTTCCTTATTCTCTTTCCTTACATTTTAGAAGTGGAAAAACAGTCCTACTGAAAGCATTACTGGAATTTTTTTTCTCAGTTGTTTAAAGGTATACTGGTGCTTCATTATAATATAGAAATGAATAGATGAGAAAGGTCCTAGGAAAAAAAAAAATCAGTGTGCTGCTCTTTTGTAAGGCATTAAAGACACCTAAATAAACATGCCGAAACAAATAACAAAAAAGTTTGTTTTGTTTTAATCCATAAAAAAAAAGGATGAGCATCCTAATCTAAATTTCTTCTGAAGCATGGATTACTGAAATTAGTATATGCTTTTACAAATAAAAAACACTAAAATATGAAAGAATCTCTGGGCTTATATAATAGAACTCACGTGGTTTGCCCTAATTATGAAGAATAGGAGATACTTTGTAAGACTATAAAGTCTTACAGTGTTCATATCAGATGTGAACAAATGCATAGTACTGTAATTATTTAACATTTGTAGTTATAAAGCCAATATCCTAACCAATTTTAAGACATAAAAAATAGGCAAAAATACATTATCTTAAGTACTACAGTCTAATGAGAATGACTGATTATTTTGAAAAGCAAAGAAGCAGTGAAACTATCATTTTTCTAAAATACTTTTTTCCCATCAAAATTTATAAATGGGCAAATATTTTACGGCCCACGCACCTTCCCAAACTTCGACTCCACGTCCTATTGGGATCAGATAATGAGAATCATATAAATACTTTCATATAATACCAAGATAAATACATTCAAAAAATACTTGTATGCCTGTGGGGACATATAATTACTTGGAAATACAATCATATAAACATAATGGCGGTCCATCAGACACTTTAAAATTTGATGGAATGGAAATCTACATATAAAGACAGCAACAAATACCACGTAAGATGTAAAATGTCATAGGGAAAAAATAATATAGGAAACATACCAACTGAAAGAAATAGAAGTTAAGTATACAAACTTGTACAGTTTTAAGGGGTCATGTTATTTCAATTCCCTGTTTTCTTTCTTTACATAAGGAAGCATATCAAGGGCCTCAGAAGCTTGCACAAGCACAGCTAGGTAATGACCCGCAGATCAGAGTCTGGCGAACTGCCCCACCTTATCTTCGTCCAAACCACACTGACGACACTGAGTCCCAAGAATGGAGTTTTCAGCATAATCTGTTGTGGAGGATCAAAATCTTACTTCTCTTAACTATTCCATTCCCCCTCACAATCTAAACAAAATCTAGTAAGGTTTTATAAATACAAAGACACTGCTTCACTGTTTTGTTATTAGCCTTAGGCGTCCCTATTCACAGATTTTTCCACATATTAATTTAGAGTCAAGGAACAAAGAGTAAAACTGCAGAAGCCTCATGTAAGAGTATTAGAAAAGCCATTGCTTATAAGTAACAGTTCTAAAGAAGCCCAAATAATAATAATTTTGTTAGCTACAGTATACACAGAAAGGCAATCTCCCCATCCCCATGTAATGAATTTTAGATGTCAATAAGACAGGCTGAAAATCAAGAATCATGGAATTTTGCTCCCCCAAGCTGTTTGGAAGCAACAAAAGTGATCAGTAGCATTCATCAGGCGAGAGGCTCCATTAAGTACAACAGCATCAGCTTACAGGTCCATGATGAGCATCTCCACAAAGCAGGAAACAAGGAACAATAAAGAACAGTGCAGTAACAACCTTTACAAAAGCAAACAGCTAACATTTATTGATCTTTCTGTCTTCAAGTGTCCATTTATGATCGGATAATATTTTTAAAAGAATTGTCTCACCTGGCAAAATACTAATTTGGCAATGCTATGTAAAAATTCTCCTCTCTGTATTTTTTTTTTTAACTCTACCAGTTGGCAGATCAAAAACCAACACCATGTAATAGTGCTGATTATACTAGTCTTCAAATTTTGCAAATCTCTTCTTTAACTGAAAATATACTTCTTGCCTACAAATCACGGGCCTAAACCCAAGCATCCCTTAAGTTGTTGCAAGAAATTTGTAGTGGTTCTTAAAAAAAAACCTAGTCAAATGGAACAAATGTTACTCACAAAGGCTAACTGGGATGAAAATGTCTTTTTTTTTCCCCACTAAATATTTATTTTATTTATTTATGCCTACAAGAACTGGGGTATAGGCTAGAAGTGGGGGGAAGGGAATAGGGGCGAGAGGATTCACCTGCGAGACCAAGTTGGGGGCAGAACAGGCAGATCCACTGAAATACACCGCTGAGGGAGGTAGGGGAAATCAGAAGGGGTCTGCTGCACCCTGGGGGTCAGCTCCCATCAAACTTATGCTGCAGTGGCTGTGGACAGCTTCACAGTGATGAGACTTAACTCCTTACACCACCAGAAAGGCCAGCAAAATGTCTATTCTTGAGATGACAGAGGGTTCAACACCAGTTACTAATTTTTGTGATCTTAGGAAACTCACTATGCCTCAGTTTCATGTTCTCTAAATGGGAATAATAATGGTGTTTATTACTGTGAAAGTTAAGGAACATTTTTAATAACAAAAAAGCAACTAATATTTATAACCATTACTGTAAGACTCACATGAGTTAATATTATACAATGTTTGGTATGATCTTGGTGTATAATAAGCAATATATAGAAGCAAATTTTATTGTTTATGTCCTAAGAGTCAGTATATAATTTTAACAATGACTTAATATAAATATGTGAGACAGTTATGAAGACATGAAGAGTATCTATTTAAGGGAGTGCTAAAAACCTGGCTGTCCAGAACTCTTGTGAATGCAGTATCAATCTTGGAAAAGATTTTTTTTTTTAATTTCTAAACACAGACTTTCTTACAGTTTAAAAAAAATTAACCAGTGTTAATTAGCCAGACTGGGGTGATAATCTAAGCTCCCTCCCCACCCCTGTCAACTAGAGTAAATTCCTTTTTTTATCTATTGGATTCTTGTTGACCTTCTCTGGAAAATGGAATAATAATGTCTATTTGGATAGCATAAACAAAGGACTAGCGCTATTGCAGTATGAAGCACCTAGCACAGCTAATGAAGGTTTTATTATTTCCACAAGGAAAGAAATCAAGTCTTCTGAAACATTTATGAACCTAGCAACTGGAGTCATTAAATAGCTGTGCCAAGAAAACTTAATACACTAAATAAAAGATATTTACAATTTGTTAAAGAAATTATTTTAAAAATGTATACTATCAAACTATTTAGGTCACCTAATCTAAATAGATGTAATAATCACCCTGGCGTTCCAACAGTAACTGAAGCTTGAAGAAATTACGTGTGTCTAATATGAGCAGTGGATGTAAAACTAGCCTTAGGACAAAGGGGGAGTGAAGCACACACGCTGGCCAATGTGCCAGAGCCCCCAAAGTCCCTAGACACAGGGGGATCCAGCAAACCCAAGCAGTGGCCTAGTTCCCAGTGCCTCTGGTCCCCTCTAACGTGTCATTGTCATTCAAAAGGTAAAGGGGGGTGTGCACACGCCTAGGGCACTTATTACAACAGCAGAAACAAGGACGAGCCCAATAGAAACTGTGGTGCCGGCCTGTGGGAAACAAAGCTGCAGCCCCTTCTCGCCCTGGGAGCCTCTGATGAGTCTCCCAGACACCCTATCGCTGGCAAGGACGTCCATGTGGAAACCCACATCAGGTTCCGACTCTGCACAGAGAAAGGCATGACCCCTGGGAACAACAGTTACAGGCCCAAACCAATGACATGAACGACCTTTTAAAATTACCGGGTACCTTAAGGATTATTTTAGTTCACTGAATTCTTGGAAGTTTTTTCTTCTGGCTTATTTACTTTCAAAACTAGCATTATCTTGGAATCTCTACCTAGAATTTATTTCGCCAAGAAAATAATTCTGTCTCTACCCCACAATCTAGAATATCCAAAAAGGGCAGCAATCCATCAACCAGGGAAGGAAAAAACTCCATGAAAATTGCCCCAAACTGACAAAAACAAAGCCTAATTAGAAAATTTTCAATGGACTAATTATAAAGCATATAGTAGAAAACCATGGATCTCTGAAAGCCTTTCTTTTGTATTAGTGGTAACTCTAGCTTTAAACCACATGCAGTTTTTCAAACTACATTTCCAATTTTTTCCGCTTATTTACACAAGAAGTGGATATATTACCATTCCTTTTAATTATGTATTTAGTTATAATTATGAAAAGCTGATATTTACAAGTATATTTAGTCAAATCAAATACGTGTGCAAGAAAGACAGGGACATCAAACTGACCTGAATCATTACCCCTGGCCCCAGAATTTTAAAATATACATGTAAACGTCAAAACACCAAACAGTATTTTAACAGTCATTCATAAAAACAGTAAGAGAGCTCCTGTCTCCCTCCTAGACCACTATCAACACTGGGAACCTGCCCAGAAGTCAGAAAAGCATTGCAAAGAAAGGACAAAGTGAACGAGGCCTTGGGATGTAGTACCGCTAACTGTGAAATGGGTAAGAGCTGACTCATCTACTCTCGATTTCAGAGCTCGCAGCCTGAGATGGATGGCAGTAACTGCAAAGTCATCACTCCTCTCCTGACGCAGAGATACCGCAGGATGGTCACGAAAGACGGCCACAGCACACTTCAAATGGATGGTGCCCAGAGAGGCCTTGCCTATCTTCGGGACGCCTGGGGGATCCTAATGGACATGCGCTGGCGTTGGATGATGCTGGTCTTTTCTGCTTCTTTTGTTGTCCACTGGCTTGTCTTTGCAGTGCTCTGGTACGTCCTAGCTGAGATGAATGGTGATCTGGAGCTAGATCACGACGCCCCTCCCGAAAACCACACTATCTGTGTCAAGTACATCACCAGTTTCACAGCTGCGTTCTCCTTCTCTCTGGAGACACAACTCACAATTGGTTACGGTACCATGTTTCCCAGTGGTGACTGTCCAAGTGCAATCGCCCTACTTGCCATACAAATGCTCCTAGGCCTCATGCTAGAGGCTTTTATCACAGGTAATTGTTTTTTGTTCTTTAAAAAAAAAAAAAGTGTTTTGGAAAGGGTATAGTTGGTTATAAGCAACTGTTTCAGAGTAACATGCTTGCATTATTAACAGAATAATTTGTAAGAATGAAAAGAGACCAGGGCCAAACAATAGCAAAAATTTTAAGAACAAACCTATTCTACACTTAAATGGTACCTATTGGAACAGAAGAATTTGATTTTTTTTTCCTGACCGAGCTAGAATTTTCTCCTGTGAGCTCATCTTTCTCAACATTTACTGTTTGCATTTCAAGTTAGAGAAACAAGTTAAATACACCTAACACATATCCTCAGCAAAATGCACTAGAAATGTGGCCAAAGACTATGATATTTTGCTTATAAGTCTGAAAACATGTAATTCTTTCCTCTATAAAATACAACCAATGCCTATTCTATAGTGATACACAAATTTTTAAAAACCAACAAAGAAAACCTGGCTTTAACGCACTTCCGGAGGGTAATCTGGGCCCAGCAGCAGCAGGCCACGCAAGGGGGCCTGGAAGGAGTCCTGACAACCTGCTCTTTGACACATAACAAGTCACTTCACTTGTACAAGAGTTATCAAACTGGATCAGTCATGAGATAAAATTCAGAGAATCCATGAGCCTTGACAGGAAAAACTTGCATCTTTTTTCACCAACCCCTTAATGAAATCTAGCATTTCATTTGATTATGAACATGGGCAACAAATAACAACAGCATCAGCAATAGAACACCTGCAACTTTGATAGAATAGAACTCGCTACTATTTTCATCACTACAAATACTTTAAAAGTCTAGTATTAAAACTGCCCATGTTTTTTATTTAATAGAATAATAAAGCACATATAGTACTAATTACTTTACTGTCCAAATGGATTTCAATATCTGAAGTCGTTTGTGTATAATTCACTTTTATACTTAAAGCATAATTCCGATAAGAGGTTCGTAGACTTCACCAGTCTGCAAACAAGATGTGGCACAAAACCCTGGCTCCAGGGTACAGGAGGTATGCATGAAATCACCTTAGAGTCAGAGACAAAAGATGTGCCATTGTCATCACACTCACCCTACTACTGCCCCCTTCCTGCCCTTAAATCACTCTGCTCTGAAGTCTACACTCTGCTTCAACTTGAAGTACTTAAACTGTGTTTTCAACCAAGGTGCACTTACTGACTTCTTTGACTGTAAGAAACAAGGGGGTCAAGTTCTAAATTTCGAGGTAACAAAATAAATACTACTTACCCATTTTGGAATCATAATTTTTACATTAGAAGGTATATATCTTTGAACAATTCTTCAAGGAAATGAAGTTTCATAACAATGAGTTCAATTCCTGACTCATTTGTAAGCTAATAGCATCAAAAAATGTGTAACTATTTCATACACTCTTCTCAATTATTCTAAACAAATTCAATGGTTTCTAATTTAGGTGCCTTTGTGGCGAAGATTGCCAGGCCAAAAAATCGAGCTTTCTCAATTCGATTTACTGACTTAGCAGTAGTAGCTCACATAGACGGCAAACCTAATCTTATTTTCCAAGTGGCCAACACGAGACCCAGTCCTCTGACCAGTGTCCGAGTCTCAGCTGTACTCTACCAGGAAAGAGAAAATGGTGAACTCTACCAGACCAGTGTGGACTTCCACCTTGACGGCATCAGTTCTGAGGAATGTCCATTCTTTATCTTCCCACTAACCTACTATCATGCCATTATACCATCAAGTCCTCTGGCTACTCTGCTCCAGCATGAAAGCCCTACCCATTTTGAATTAGTTGTGTTCCTTTCAGCAATGCAGGAAGGCACTGGAGAAATATGCCAAAGGAGGACATCCTACCTGCCCTCTGAGATCATGTTACATCACAGTTTTGCATCGCTGTTGACCCGAGGTGCCAAGGGTGAATATCAAATCAAGATGGAGAATTTTGACAAGACTGTCCCTGAACTTCCAACTCCTCTGGTGTCTAAAAGCCCCAACAGGACTGACCTGGATATCTGTATCAATGGACAAAGCATTGACAATTTTCAGATCTCTGAAACAGGACTCACAGAGTAAGAGGCATCCACAGGCCCCTACTTTTTAATGTTTTAAATATACCCAGCCAGTTATGCAGCTGCTTTTCCTTCATCTAATGTTTTCCGATGCCAATTACATCACAGTAATCAAGCCTATGTCCCTAAGAAATGGCTGAGCTAACAATACTCATTTTGGAAATACAACATTCTACTTTACAAAGTTTGTATCTGTGGTTATCTGCTGAAATCAGTGCATCTCAGTGACAGATATTTACACAGAAATGTTGCTGGTAAATTCAGAAGAATGTGGCATGATACCAGTAATAAAGGTAAAATGAACAGTGAAGTTCAACACAGCTGAACTCAAAGAAAAGCAACCATAAATCTCTCATTTTCATCTGCAAGTTGAAGCAACAATCTAGTTTCAAACCTAGCTCCCTGGGTAGAAAGATGATTTCACAATATTTAGTGAACATCCTTTTAAAACTGTTTTCAAGACAACAAAGATCATTCCTTTGGTTCTTTATACTTCAAAACATGGGTAAGTATCATTCTCTTATTTTAACAGCTAAGAGCAAAAACTCACTAAATAAACAGCAAAGTCTAGATTTACATGTAACTCTAAAAGCATCTAATAAGCATGACACTGAAATATACATACATTTGTTTATTTAAGGCAGAGTGTGATCAGAGTGCGAGCACTAATCTCAACAGAAGGTACAGGGTGGTATTTTTGGCCAGGACAAAGCCAGGTCCACTTTCTAACTACCTTGCATAATAATCAAATAGTGATCTAAAACTTGTAATCCACTATTGATAGGAATGGCTTCCAAGCTAAGTAAAAACATTCCCTTCATAGCTCTGATCCATTTAATGGTATAAATACCATTCAGACAATTTTAAGTAACTCATAAATGCAAATATACTTAAGTCTCTGTAGCTAGAAAGGTTTAGATAGATATAATCCAACTAGGAAAAAATCTTCAATAGATAAAGCAAAAATAATTAGGCTACAAAGTATTTTCAAACCCAAATTCCTGTTTCCAACATCAAATAGTTTTTTCTACAAACACAAAATGAGTGTTTACTCACCAGTAGGAGGCTGGACTAGATGAACTCTATTATTTCTTTCCAAATCTAATACATGAAAATGACGCTCTTTCTGCTGCATTTCTTGTTTTATATATATATATTAATAGGAACCTTTTTTCTTTACCTACAGCTTAAAACTGTCCTTAAAACTTTTCACTTCAATTTAAACAAATAATAAAAAAAAAATAGGACAAATGTCCTCAAATCAAGAACCAAAATATTCACCTTATCATATTTCAAATAGATTGTGGCTACTCTTCTTTTCTGAAATTTCTTTGGGTTTATGTGGGAAAGGGGGAAATTTAACCCTTCCCACTGGTGATGACCCAGGCAGCAATCCTCTCTTGAAATAAACACTGAGAAAGGCAAGCAGTTGTGAAAAGCAGGGCACAGCAGCAAGTCACATTTTTCTACTCTTTGACCAAAAGGAAAAGAAAATAAAGAAGAACTTTGGAGTGGTCTAAGACTGATAATAGCAGAAGAATATCAAGGACACAGAAACTTAATTATTGTAAACTTTTGCTGTTTGAAATCTTAGGCATTCTTAAGTACTAGCCAGACCAAAAGATTTTTTTCCAAACCCAAGACTGATGTAATACCTGTAGACAGCAGGAATTTTCATTTCTATAATAAAGTAACAAGATTCACCTAACCTGTAAAAATAAAGTAGTATCGAAGATTTACATGGTATGTTTTTTCCTAAGGGTTCCACATCACTTACAGAGAACACAAACAAGCCCAACAGTGAAATGAAGCTGCCCAAAGTGACATAAGGAGCGGAGCAAGAGCTGGATCTAGGTGCCTAGCAGCTGAGGCTCACAGCACCCCGGGCACACATAAGTTAGGATCTGAAAACTAGGTACCAGATCACACATACATACCAAAAAACCATGGGTATATGAATGTTATTTAATAAATGTTTCACAAAAAGACAACTAAGAAATGCAATCAAAGATTTTTGTCTGGGATGTTAAAAAGCTTCTGAAAATATTGTTCATGGCTCTTTGGCTTACTTCAAAGACACAGCTTCCACATTAAGGCGTATGGAGGGCAAACAGAAAGGAGGGAGAAAGCCCTGGGGCTGCGATGACAGCCCATGCGGGCTACACGGCTCGCCAGCGTGGCTCGACTGGTCGTCCAGGGGCGGCATCTCAGACACACGTCAGGAGGACCACGCTGAAACTAAGTTGGCAAGTGCTTTTGGAAAACAATACGGAGAGCATGACAGCAAAACAAAGGCAAGGAGGCATTAAAAAGCCTAAAGCTGGGCTTGACGTGTGTGCAAGCCTCGTAACCAAAAGCCACTCTGTCTCCTTGAAGCATTTCACACCAAAATGCACTTGTTAGTATTAACACGGGGCCCACTTGCTGGTATCGCCTGGATCACTTTTTAATTTTTGATGATCTTTTAATTTCATCCTTACAAAATCATACATGATGAAGCACAACTATCTCGCTCTTGGTGGCCATCCATTGCTACTAAGTTAAGAATTATAATTTCAATGTCACTGGCCTTTTTCTATTTTCACGTCCACCCTAAGATGTCCATAGTCATTAAGTGCGTTTCCTACCTAGAAGTCGGTAGTTCTACCCATTTTCCTCCACACTAACATGACATAAAACACCTCGAATCTTAACAACAACAATCCATTCTCCACCCGTTAGTCTCAAGCCATCTTAGTCTGCTGTCACAGGAGAGCTCCTATTGACCCCCAAGTCACTGCATCCCAGCACACTGGTTTAGTGCTGCTCTTCTTACAGACTGTTAGAAACAGTCACAAGCAATTTTTTTCTAAGCCACGTTTTCAGCAAAAGTGGACTGCTCACAAGAAAACTGAGATTCATGAGCACAGTTACTATAACTGAACTGAGCATATGTGATCACAAAGCATCCACTGAAAGCTACTATATTTAAACATGTATGTGAAAATTATACTGGTATTTTAGTAGAAAAAACTTTCTATTTAGTTATGCAGAACATGCCGTTTCAAAGACACACCAATTAGGTGCAAAGAAATGAACCTATTCCCTTAACGCTGGGTGGCTGGCAAAACTGCCACAACAGGACTAACATAGTTAAAATACAAAAACAGCAAATAATGATGAACTTATAACCATCTGCCCCAATCAATCAAATTGTGACTATGTCAAATGGCTGACGTCAAGCCACTGATGACAGGACTCACCACTTTCCCAAGGCAACACAGCATGTTCGGAAGGCTCTAGTTACTATCTTTTCAATGTAACGTCAGTACCTTCTCCTTAAACTGCTCTTTAGACTCACACTGATTAAGTCTAATTCCTCTTCACATGACGGGTAAGCAAATATTTGCAGAGTGACCCCATAAACCCTCCTCTCCACCTGTCAGCCCACAGCCTTGCCTCCAATGTAAACAGCCCCACACTTCCGCCATGCATTTCCCCTTCACAAGGCTCCAAACGTTTCCTATGTAACAAGGCTCCTGCTCCTATGTATGATCCTTTCAAAGTGTGGCCCCCACTACTGAACACAATACTTAGGCTGTTCTGGGACAGCATGAGGTACCATCACACCACTTATTAGCATAATGCAGAATCAGATGAGGGCTGTCTATCACCCACCAAGCTGCTGTTACACAGATAGACCATATTTTAAATTCTTGTTTATTTATGCAACACTTTATTCTCAAACTCCCATTTGATTAGAGCTGGACTCTTGTTCTACCTTAACAGTTCCAACTGTTCCACTATTACTATCCCTAGATGCTGAATGACTGAAATTCTGGCAACACCCCAACCATGTCATCTGAAGAAAAGGACTATTTATTTAGCATTGATACAAAGGCCTAGTATGTGAGTAGGAATTCAGTAATTGCAGACTAACAAATAAGTCTATACACTCTTATATAATCCGAAAAAGTCTGCAAGTCATTACTAGCCCCTCCACGTTTATCTGAAAGGTTAGATTTCTAAACCCTCCACTCTTTAAACTGCTCCTCATTACCTCTTCATATTCACTGGCAAGAATATTAAGTAAGACAAGCATGTGAAGTCCCTTAAGATACACTTATCCAATAGTCTACAATGTAGTAACAAGACTGAGTTACCTTTCTAGTCTGTTCCAAATTTCTTCATGCTCTATTCATTTAATGGTTTTTGTCAAATATAAATACAACTGATTATTCTCACAGCTGTATTCATCAATGAAAAATTTGTATCACTGATACATTAAAATGAGTTGACTGTTGTAACTTAGTTTTTTTAAAAAAATAATACAAATCACTGAATGATATTTACATATTTAACCTATGTTTATAAAAACTATTACTGTCAGATACAATTATATACTCTGGAGAACTTTGTTCCCATTTCTGGATATTTGGAGGTTGTATGGTAATGTTTGTAAATGGTACAATAAGATTGTTTTTATCTCAGATATTACCTACTGGCAATTTATAATATAGTACCTTTAAATCTCTGAAAACGTTTATCTTAAACAGTTGTTTACTACAAGCTGCAACTAATTCACCATAAACATTGAAATTCTTATAGTTCTCCTACTATATTCCCATCATCCAATGGATACTGAACTATAATTTGACTGCTATCATCTCAAAAGAAAACATAAAAATGATGATTACACATCAATAGGCAAGATGAATTAAATGACGAAATTAAGAGCACTCACAGTTTCAGCCTTTATGCTGATTTAAAAGCAAACATTCTATTTGCCCACTTATTCTCACCTATGAGACGCTATCTACATTGGAAAAGAAGGTAATAGATTGTCTACTAACTTGAAATTTCACTGCATGGGATAGTTTAATAAAGGATAAGGTCCTTGCAGAGAACACAAAGACCTAAAAAGTGAAATTAAATGAACCCTAATGGCCGTATATTCACCTCCCCTGGTTTCTTACAAACAGCACTACAACCCCATCTACTGGAGAGGTGTGGGTAACTGAGTCAATTTTTAGTAAATAGATCCTATTGTGAGAGTCTTGTTAAGAATTAGTATCACGTAAGTTCAGATAAAAATAATTCAAAACAGTAAGAAAGCCTTACCTACATCCTTTCGACCTGGTTTTTCAAAACGTCTGTCACCCCTAGAAAAGACAAAATAAGCTTCACCAAAGCTTGAGAGAGATGTAATTTTTCAATCCATGACATCTACTTTCCTATCTCTATTTAACAGCATTTCTTTCTTTTTTAAATTTGTAAAACACACACACGGTTATTGGCTATTATCTGGAAGCCACAGAAAAGTACACAGATGAAAACAAAATATCCACAATCTCACCCACCAAAAGACAGTTTCTACTGTCCATGTTTTAAATATATATATATATATTAATTTTAAATTTTTTATTTTTGCATAGGCCAGAGGGCGACTGGGGAGGAGGGGGAGAAGAGAAGGATGATGAGAGGGTCCACGAGAGACAGAGTGGGGAACAGAACAGGCCGATGTTCTGAAATATACTGTTGAAGGGAGCAAAAGGCAAGACAGAAGAGGTCTGCTGTGCCATATATGGGTTAGCTCCCCAGCCACAGATAGAACTCAGTCTCAGCAGTGATAGTGCTGAGATTTAAGCCCTAGGCCGCCAGGGAGGCCACCATGTTATATTTTTAAATTAGATGCATGTGGGGTCTCCATGGCGGTACAAAGGGTTAGAGGATGAGTTCAATATTCACCAAGTTCAGTCCCCAGTAAGGGAGGAGACCCACATGACACAGCAAGCCTATACTGTCTCACCCTCTGCTCCCCTCAGCAGGGTATTGCAGTGGATCTGCCTATTCTGCTCCCCACTCTGTCTCTGGTGAATCCTCTCCCCCACCCCCCACACCTCTATATACCCAGTTCTTGTATGTACAAATAAATAAGTCTTTTAAATAAATTAGATACATGCTGTAGTGTTTTATATACTATTTTAAAAATGTATTTACCCATATCATTAAATATTTTCAAAATTGTTCTACCTTTAATATAGGTATCTATCGTACAGATACACCATTATATAAGAAACAGCTCTAATATTAAGTAGTTTGGTTTGTTTCCAAATGTTTTATAAAAATCATCACAGTGAACACCTCTGTACAAATACATTCATGCCATCAGCCTCACCTATCTTGACAGGCTTCATATAAAGTCACAATATAGAGGTGTTTTACTAGGAACCAACAGTAAAATGTCAATGTGTCCCAGTGAATACGAATCAAAGAGCAAATCTAACTGTAAATATTGACGCTGGCACTAACGTATTCATCTTTTTACCTAGAATGCTTCTTCCTTTAAATAAGGAAAACACTGCTAACATACAACTTGATGTTCAATAATTAACAGCACTCAATGAAACCTCTGCAGAAAGCAGAAATGGTTTTCATACCAAGAACCGTTATTCCGAGGTCTGGATCCTTTACCTTTCCTCCCAGCTCTGCGATCTATGCATTTCCCTGCCACCTCCTCGACCAAACACGCCCTCTACTTCATCAAAGCTTCTTTGGTAGAAACCACATTCACCTCTGCCTCTGCCTGAAAATAAGGGGGAAAAACAGCAGTCAGCTGTCACTAGCAGGCACGCATTCAACACCCACAGTTAACTTCTGAGTTCTGTCTCCACCTGCAAAATGCAGTGAGGCCTGTGGCACTGAAGTGGCTGAACGACAGGAGGTTGAAAGACACACCCTGGAAAGCTGGCAGAGGGGCCCCTAGCCCCAGTCCTGGTCAAGAAATGCTGTCAATAGTAAGCTCTTTAGTGAAAAGCTCAGTAGTTACTATCTAAAAATACCAGTGACCTATTACCATAAATTACAACTTTTATTGGATTGCTTTCAATAAAAATGAGTATTTGGGAGCTTGAGAAGAGAAGAAAGTCTAGAAGCTAAGTACAAAAATTAAGATGTTTCACACAACTTCAGAGAAAGGATAATTTCACAGTATAAACTCTAAACTATCGATTTTATGAAATCCTTAAATGTTTCACAGCAACCAAATTTTTTTTATTATCATAGTTTATTTTTACATCATTTTGTGCCTTTTCCCATCTCAGTTGTCATCCTCATGGACTTCCCATCACCAACTCACCCATGTGCCATCACCATAGCCCCCATCACACACCCTTTTGTTCAAACCTTACATAAGATGATTAGCACTAACTCTAAATCAGAGCTGGTAAGAGAACAGTGTAGTGCGGAGTCCAGTGGTTCGGTTGTAATCTGGCCTTTACTGAGTCACTTTGGTGAGAGTGCTAAAATTCAAGTCAACTCACGGGAATTTTCCTAATAGAAAAAAATCACACAAGTATGCCAATATGTGTAGTATGAAGTTATTCATGCAATTTTTTTTTTAAAAAAGGGAACAACCTAATCAGCAAAGAACTGTTTCTGATGAACAGTTCATTAGAACACTATAGTCACAGATGAAAAATTCTGACATTGAAAAAAAATGTGTCCTGCTAAATAAATAACAAAATGAATCCAGAGAGCACTACATGTGAAAATGAGTGCCTTTATGTAAGTGACAGCGCTGCAGGGTCAGGGTCAGAAAGACACACAACTGCTTAATGGCAGTTGTGTTCCACTGTGTTTTCTGTACGGTTTGAGGGCTTCCCAAGAAAGGTACACAAAGGACAGAAGACTGGAGAGGGAAGGCAGTATATCTGCACTTATATAGCAAATATAAGTCATCTTCACACTGTGCGATACCACTCATATAAGCATGAATGCATTTTAAAGTTAAACATACGTGAGTCAATAATTATTTAAAAGTCCATGCAATAGTTCTACTTCTAGGTTACAATTTATCATGAATTGACTCAGAATAGTTATGTTTTCACATGACCTTCTTATGAAATGCAAACATAATGCACAGAATTGTATGTGAGTAATTTCAAGAACAATGAACACTCTTAACTAGCACAGGTATTTACTACTTTAAAACATAAGTGAATAGGCTGAACTATGATAATCTTAGTTACCTTCCAGTTGTGTCGACTTAACATCCAATTCCCAGTGTCAGGACCTGTATACATTTTATTTAACATCCTAAATAGTGCTACATAACTAGAGAATCCCCTGTAACAATGACTTTCGGTGAGGAAGAAAAATGTCCCCTCTATTTTTAGAGAACAGGTTTCCGCCCCCCTTCCCCAGGAAAACCATTAAGTAAATAGCACCTTAAAAACTGTTTAATTCTAAAAAAAAAAAAATTGAAGTCTTCAGACAAAAAAAAAAAACAAGCTACCACATACAAAATATTTTCTACCAGTTATGACCAGAATTGGCACCGATCTTCTCTAAAACATTAAAAGTGTTATAAAGCTTCGTATGTGGACACACAATAAAGATTAAGATTCTACAGATTTCCAACTTGCAAAACAGAGAAACCCTCCTCAGAACTTTACAAAGCCCATAGTCACCTACAAATGCTGCTCCCCAACATGTTCTGTGAAAGAAAATGACCAATCTCATAAAGCTACACTGAAAGGACTGTCCTATTATCTCAGATCTTTTACACTCTGGGGAATTAAAATATGTTTTCTTTTAATGATGAAGAAGACAGTGATTGATAGTTGTGTGGATCTGTTTTATCGTTAAACATCCTAACCAGATAAAACAGAAAGAAGATGATTTTATTCGGTTTCCTCATCCGTTTAAATTTTAAAAGTTCATGGTATTTAAAGTCTGAATGTCAGCTGATTTTTACATCCAAGTTTCCTCAAGCTGGAAAGAAGCAGGATAATAATCATCTAATCTTATCTCTGCCTATTCAAGAAAGAGTCACGATCATTATTTAAGCAACAAGTTACACAGTGTTAAGAAAGACAAGAACCACAGCTGCATGGTCTTATGAGATCATTAAAAAGAATCAGGGTTGGAACAAGGTGAGAAAAGCATTTTTCACGAAGTCAGGTTACTCCCTCGACTAGTTTCATGTCCTTCTTACAGTGACTGCGTCCGTCCCAGTCCCGGTTTGTCTAAATTCTGAATGTGCTAGTCCTAGCATATGTGGTAATCCCACACCTACAATTGGAAAAAAAACAAAAATCAGAGTAAAATTTTCAGCCTTTCATTTACTTCTCAGTATGGGTTTTTTCTAACCCTGTCTAGAGACTTGCAACACACAAAGTGGGCGGTCATCTAGGCACTTGCGACAGCTGGCTTGCGAGCCTCTTCCTGGCCAGGCCAGGATCTTATGACTTGCCCTGAAAGCACTGGGGGCAACACTCCACCTCACACCCTTTCCTGCTGCCCATCCGGCAAAGACACCTCTCACAGAGCCCTCCGCCACAGAGCCCGCAGCACTTGGGTGCGGCCCCTCCGGTCACAGGGTCTCCATGCTTCAGGCTCCGCCGGGACAAGGAGTGTAACAAGGATGTGCTGAAGTCAACCAGCACCAGCTACACATCGCCCTTCACATGCAGACCTGTAAACCAGAATCACCCTCCTCTGCTTCAATCAGGGGGTCAGAGCAGATACGCTGAAGAAAATGGCACAAAAAACAAATGTTCAGGACATTTAGAATGCAGGTAATGTCAAGGAGCAGTTTTCTAAAAATCAAGTATTGCGATATTCTCGTGTAATCTCCTCCTCCCCGACTCCTCTCTTCGCGTGACGGCTCACCTCGCCCTCTGGAAGAACTTCGGCCTCTAGGAGCCCCCGCCACCGTGCCCCCTCCACCTCGGCCCGTCAGTCGCAGGACAGCAGCACTGTTTACAGACATGGAGAAGTTTCTCTGCCAAAAAAAAAAGAAAAGAAGGGGAAATGGGCAACACGGCCTGATCCACCTCCCCATCTCCAGCTGCATCTGTAAAACGGCGTTTAATAGTGGCCTCTGGCAATGGGCCATCTGACTATACCACACACTAAGGTGATCCAAAACCTGACTTTAGCAGAAAACTTCAAATTAACATTTCAGATCAACAAACACTGACAGTCAACACCTTACGCCACGCTAGATCCTGCAAGGAAACACTGGACTCTAGGTGCTGTGCATGTCTGGAAACAGTTCAGGAAAATACGCACCATGACAGAAAAGCGGTAAATGTGATCTAGCTTGAAAGGCCCATTCACCAGCACCTCATTCTGCTCACCAAAGTGAAACTAGCAGCTCTAAGTAGTATTTAAAAAAAAAATAGCTGGAATCAAAAGTAAACAAGAAAGGCCAGGTAAGGCTCTACAGACGGCAATGGGAAGGCGGGTGCCTGAAAACATAAACTAAATCCCAACTGCTCACCCACGAGACAGCACAGGAAGGCATTGCAGCACCCACCACTAAGCTGCAATAGCACAGGATGGGCATCCTTCATCCTTCAAATACCAGGAGGAAGGCAAGAAGCCTGGGAGCCAAAAATATGTCTAGTTGACACGTCTAGACAATCGGAAGATATGGGCTTAGGAAAAGGTAAAGCAAAAGCAATTATAAAAATCTGAAAAGAGATTTATAAGATATAAAAATCATCAGCATTTGAAGAAAATTCATGTAAACTTCGAACTATGAAAACGCTGCAATGTATGTACCTAAACTTCCTGTTCACTTAGCACTTACTAAACCTTGTGCAAAACTGCAGGGGTGCGGTACAAGAGGAAAACGTAACCTGGGTGTAGTGAGCACCAGGGCTCTCCTGGCATAGACAAGAGTGAGGCTTAAGAGTTCAGTGGGGGCCTCCCTGGTGGCGCAAAGGGTCAGGACACAGCACTGCAAGCAGCTGCAGCCGCCTCAGTGCGAGTTCAGTCCCCCACCCTGGACGTGACCCACATGGAGCAGCAGACCTCTCCTGGCCCACCCGCTGCTCCCCTCAGCAGTGGACTTCGTCGATCTGCCTCTTCTGCTCCCCGCCCTGTCTCTGGTGAAGCCCCTCAAGGCCTCTGCACCTGTGGCTTGCACCCCAGTTCTATATGAGTAAATGAATAAATCTTTTAAAAAAAAAAAGCTCTTTGGTTCACTTTGGTGAACATTAAAAAAAGAATTTGGTGGGACAAGACCTCTGCAATTCAACTTGTATTTTAAGTGGTTCACGATGTGAAATTATGATTTGCTGTCTTGATATAAGGTCCTCGGACACCTCTTCTGAGAAACAACGTGTCATTGCTTAAACATTTCTACTTTCATTACTGAATTTCTTTTTTTTTTAATATATGGGCCATTTTCTCATTGCCTGGCTCATTACTTATCTTTTTCAGAATTATGTTCAATAGCTTTAGTCTAGTAAATTTTAGAAATGTATCGATGTCTCTAAAAGTGGAGTTTTATAGGCATATAATCATATAATCAAGTGATTTCATTGCAACTTAAGATATGACTGACAATTAAAATTAGAGAAAGCGATCCAAAACTCAAGAAAAGTCATCTCAACCTGTATTTAAATAAAATTCACTTTAAAAAGTAAACTGGGCCCTACCTCGTGGCGCAGTGGTTGAAGCACCGCACTAAGAAGCTAAAGCAACTCAGCACGAGTTCAATCCCACTCTGGAGCTGATCCACAGGGCGCGGCAGACCTCTCCTGACCCGCCCGCTGCTCCCCTCAGCAGTGGACTTCGTCAGTCGGCCTGTTCTGCTCCCCACTCTGTCTCTGGCTCACTCCCTGCACCTCTAGCCTATACCCCAGTTCTGTATGCACAAATAAATAAATCTTTAAAAAAAAAAAGTAAACTCATTGAAACATGCATTAACTTACCTTTTAGCACAGAGTAACTAGAAGAGTTATTGAATAATGTCTCTGGGAACACAATTAAGCAAAACTATTAAGTCCCAAAATCTAGATTAAGATTTCTAGGAAAACAGATCACAAGCTATCATTTGTATGAAACACAACACTCAAAGGCATCCACCTACAAATGTGGTGGTATAATCTGTGAAAGGCAATTTCCTAATGTAAATTTCAATGTCTACGCCCTTTAGCACCAAAATTCCTTTTCTTACACATGTTAAAATAACACAAGCAAAAAGACCTCAACTGCAGTACTGTGTGTTAAAGCAAAACTGGAAGCCATTTAAGTATCAACCAATAGGAGTTGCTAACATCATGGCATCTACACATGGAGGCCAAGGCTGCTATTTTAAAAATGAGACAACTCTGTTTATTAGATTGAACCACATGGAATTGCTATATTCAACCATTTCTGGTCCACAGAAACTGCAATTTTATACAATAACCTAATATAAAAAGGTGTAAAGTATAGTATGAGTCAGTGGCATGGAAAGACCAGAGAGACCAAGACTGAATTTTGGAATCTTCACTCAACTTCTCTGCCTCACTTTCCTCCTCTAGACAATGTGTGCAGCAGTAATAGCTGTAGCTACTTTGTGAGTTACTGCAAACCTAATAATTAAACATCAAGTGCTTAGAACGGTGTCTAAAACAGATGTTAAAAGCCAAGTAAACATTTATCATTACCTCCTAAATAGATGTTTAGGTGAAATTGGTCAGCGTAAACTGTGTGCAGCACAGCAAGCTACTGTATGTGAGTGCCTGGCTGAGGGAATATATAAACAGCCATAGCTACAGTAAATACCCTTGGAAAAGGAGCAAGCACATGGAAACAATGGTGACTTCTGGGGGAAAGTAACAGGTAGCTAGGATGTGGGTGACCTACTTTTCACTCTGTGTGTTTGACTATTTTTTTATGTGTGTATACATATATTAGTTACCACCTTCTGCATTAAAAAAAAAAAAAGGAAGAAACCAAAATTAAATGTAATTTTAAAATTTAGAAAGCAGCATAACAGGGCCAGCGTTAGCTCATATTAACAGTGAAAATCAACAAGTGAAGCTTAATATTCAAAAATAAAAATTGGCAGGGGTCTGTGAGCCAGAAGGCGAGTGTGGGCCTCCCGCCACCGCTGCAGCGACCAAAGCCACACGACGGCAACAGCTCAATCAGCAGCCCAAGCCCAGTGGCCAGTGCAGAAGGTGGACCGGGACGGCATGCGCAGAGTTGCGAATGGGCACGTTCAGGCACATTCTGGATCCCTGATAGTCAAGTATTCTACTAAGTGAAAACACTGGTCGGGATGCTCCTGAGTAGTGTGCAGTTGGGAAGACAGGCTTCCCCAGGCTCGACCAGCCCCAGGCATGAAGATGTGAACACGAACTGGCTAAGATCATGCTCAGAGTCGGACAAAGTCATGATCATGTTCAAGTCTTAGGTTCTGCAACTGGGAAGTCCTGAGTAGGCATGGCCCACCTGATGCCCTCACCTAGCCCAAAATCTGAAAGAATGTGGTATCTCTTCACAGAGGGAAGGTAGTTTAGAAGAAAGAGCCAAAAGAAAAAGAGCTATAAATTTGTTTTATAGAAAAATAAATTTTTCTTAATTTTATTAAAAATTTTAAAAATTGGCTAAGACAGGCCCTCCCTGGTGGCGCAGCAGGTTAAAGCACAGCACTGAGAATCTAAAGCCACTTCTGCATGAGTTCGATCCCCGCCTGCCCCGGAGGTGACCACAGGGCGCAGCAGACCTCTCCTGACCCGCCCGCTGCTCCCCTCAGCAGTGTACTTTGTCCATCTACCTATTCTGCTCCCCGCTCTGTATCTGGTGAAGTCTCTCACCACCCCTGAGCCTTTGGCCTGCACCTCAGTTCTGTATGCACAAATAAATAAATCTTTAAAAAAGAAAAAATTGGCAAAGACAGCAAATGGTGAAAATAAATAAAAATGCAGGGATTACACAGTGCTATCACGCTATTGACAGCTACTGTAGCACCAATTCAATCTCTGACTGGCCAGGGAGTGACCCACAGGGCACAGCAGACCTCTCCTGACCCGCCCGTTGCCCCCCTCAGCAATGTACTTGCAGAGCTGCCTGCTCTGCTCCCCACTCTGTCTCTGGTGAAGCCTCTCACCACCCCTGAACCTCTGGCCTGTACCCCAGTTCTGTATGCACAAGTAAATAAACCTTTAAAAAAAAATTCGCAGTGGTGGAAGTACAGAGGATGTTCAACATAATACCACCTACACAATAACGGGGAAATACATTTATATGTTCATTTTGGAAAATGTACAAGAAACTGTTAGCACTGAATGCCTCTGGAAAGGCAGACGGGTGGCTTAGGGAAGGGAGACATGTTTTTCATAACATATTATGGAAACAATATACCTTTCCATACATTATGCTGTAAATGTTCATGTTTTAAACCATGTAATATGTCAAAAACATGAGTATTTGTTTTAAATTAAAATACTGAATGTAGCAAAACTAAAGATGAAATACTGCAATGATGGCAGCAATGAAGCAAGATACAGCGACATCCGAAGCTTGAGAAAGCAATTAAGAAGCATGGAGCAACAGCATGGTTTTATTTCTGGACTCCCGCTTCTATCCACTAACCCACATTATCTATCCTTCTGCCACAGCTTTGATATCAATTAAGTTCTAATATTAAGAAACATGTCCCCAACTTTGTTCTTTCCTGAAATTTTTCTGATTATTCAATTCCTTGCCATTCCCTTGGACTCAGCATTGTAAATTTCTACCCAAAAGTCACTAGGATTTTGATTGCTCTCACTGTAGATCGCTCAACAATATTAAATCTTCCAAAACTTAAGGGACACTGACGCCTTCCATGTGTTCTGGTTTTCTTCAATTTCTTTCTATAGTGTTTTTCCGTTTTTAGTATAAAAGACATATACTTCAGTAGATAAGCCTGTTCTGCTCCCCACTCTCTGGTGAATCCTCTCACCCCACCCCACCCCACACCTCTGGCCTGTGCCCAGTTCTTCTATGAAAAAAAATAAATCTTTAAAAATAAAAATAATTATATTTTGGCCCTCCCTGGTGGCGCAGCGGGTTAAAGCGCAGCACTGAGAAGCTAAAGCCACTTCAGCATGAGTTCGATCCCCGCCTGCCCTGGAGGTGACCCCATGGCGCGGCAGACCTCTCCTGACCCGCCCGCTGCTCCCCTCAGCAGGTACTTCGTCGATCTGCCTGTTCTGCTCCCCAATCTGTCTCTGGTGAAGCCTCTCGCCACCCCTGAGCCTCTGGCCTGTACCCCAGTTCTGTATGCACAAATAAATAAATCTTAAAAAAATATATATTTTAAAATACATACTTTAAAACCTACTTTTAAAATATAAAAATAATTTTATTTTTTGATGCTACTGTCATGTAATGGCTTTACTTCTTTTTTAGAGTGTCCATTGCTAACACATAAAAATACAACTGGAGCCCTCCCTGGTGGCACAATGGGTTGAAACACAGCACTATGAAGTTATCACAGCCACTGCAGCATGAATTCACCCCCGGCCAGGGGGATGTCCCATATGGTGTGGCAGACCTCTCCTGACCCACCCACTGCTCCCCTCAGCAGTGTTTTCCAGTACACCTGCCTGTTCTGCTCCCCACTCTGCCTTTGGTGGGTCCTTTCACCCTCTGCACCTCTGGCCTATACGCGAGTTCTGTACGCATAAACAAATAAATCTTTAAAAAAAAAAAAACAAACTTATTTTTGTGTGCCAATCCTCTATCCTACAACTTTGAGACATTCATGAATTAGTGCTAGCAGATTTCTGGTAAACTCTTTTAAGATTTTCTCCATGTAAGATAGGATCATCTAAAACAGACATAGTGGGGGAGAGACCCACACACCAGGAATAAGAAAGAAGCCAACAGGTGGGCATGCAGGATGCTCCTCAGGGCCTAACACTAAAGGCCTATTTCTATGACTCCCTGGGAAGCAATGAGGGTTTTGCATGGCACAAACCTGTTCTTCTTCTGTAAAGGGCACAAGAGCCAATGGTGGCAGGGGCTCCTCCTGCAGGATAGGCAGAAATTCTTTATCCAGAAGGTCTGAAGGTATCTGCAAGAACAAGCACATGACCAGGAGCTGAACGCTATCCCTCAAATTACAGGAGACCAAAATAAAAGCGAAAAACACTCTTCTGTTTATCTGCTGCTGGTTGTTATAAATACGAGTTAAGTCTATTCAGTCACAATTCAGGATGGTGGTACTAGCCTATTTCTCAGGGGTCAAATGTTAAGAATCCCAATCATACCCTCCGATCATACACTACTTACAAATGTGACAAACAGCTCTTAGAGTGGCAGAGTCTAAATTTCCACATTTAACACCACACAGAAAATAGTTTTGTACATAACTATCTTTTCAACCCATTAATGAATTTACTACTTAATAAGTTTACTGCTTACCATTTGCTGAACTGTTTATGTGCACTCACGCCTCTGAAAAGGGGCCGATATCCAAAATATACAAACAACTCATAAAACTCAGTAGGTTAAAAAAGCAAACCACCCAATCAAAACATGGATAAAGGATCTCAATAGACTTCTCCAAAGACATACATACGTCCAAAAGGACTATGAAAAGTTATTAATTTCTTATTAGAGGAATGCAAATAAAAGCGAGCTATACCACCTCACAGTTGTGAGGATGGCTACTGCCCAAAAGTCAAGAAACAAACAATGGAGTGGATGTGGAAAGAAAAGGAATCTTTGCACACTACTGTTGAGAATGTAAACTGGTACAGATATTATGAAAAGCAACATGGAGATTCCTTTTAAAAAATTAATAGAAATTCCACATTCCAACTAGACCACTTCTGAGTGGGATACACTAATTCAATAAGATGCATGCACCCCCACATTTACCGCAGCATTAATTTACAATAGCCAAAACTGGAACCACACTAAGTGTCCATTACTCAGCAATGGAGTGAGAAGATGGCACACAAATACAACGGTGCCCTACAAAGAAGCTACTCTTAAAGATGACATCCTGCCATTTACAGCATGACATTGCAAATTTTACTCGTATGGGCCCTCCCTGGTGGCGCAGTGGGTTAAAGCCCAGCACTGAGAAGTTAAAGTCACTTCCGCATTAGTCGATCCCCACCTGTCCAGGAGATGACCACATGGTACATCAGACCTCTCCTGACCCGCCCGCTCTCCCCTCAGCAGTGTACTTCGTCGATCTGCCTGTCCTGCTCCCCACTCTGTCTCTGGTGGAGACTCTCACCCTCCTGCACTTCTGGCTTGTACCCCAGCTCTGTATGCAAATAAATAAATCTAAAAAAATTTATTCGTATGTGATATACAGAGAAAGCAAACAATAAATAAAACAAACTTTTTGACCACATGAACTAAGTCATACAGCAGTTAGCAGAAAGGAGAGATGAGTCTGTTCAGTTACAGAGGACAGCGCACAATGTGCAGGATGAAACTAGACTTTCAGCAATGACTCTAACATTGCAAATACTCATCCTTTCTCAGTGACGCAACCAGAAACTTGCACAACATTACACTGCAGTGTTATTTCACTTTAATTAAAATAGTGTAACAAGGAATATTTAGAGAACAGAATTTCTAACTTGTCAGGTAATAGAAGTATACTATTTATGTTTTGATCATTTAAAGTACACAATTTAAGATTTGTTGTCCAATAAAATTTTAGATTTAATTCAAAAGGGAAAGAATAGAAGCAATTCCTCTTCCTGCTCCTAAATTCTAAGTAGGAAACTGTAAGAAAAGGTACAACAGAGAAAAGAGAAAGTATTTTCCTCACCATCAAAATGGGATAGGGCAGACAGGAAGAGAGGTAAGAAAATTAGCTGTGTCTAAGTACTGACTATCTCTCTGTTTCCCAAATGCTTTCTACTCCTGTAATGAAACCTCACGTCTTCTCTGAAAAACACAGAGTACAACACTGCAGGTTTCAAAGCAGGAACATAAGGCAGGAAAAGGTAGGGTCAGAGTACAAGAGCATACCATTTCATGTATTAATGCAACACAGTTTATACCCTGAATCACATTTTGTTTAAGATTTTATTTATGCACACAGAAACGGGATAGAGGCCAGAGGTGCAGGGGCGGCGAGAGGATTCACCAGAAGCAGAGTGAGAAGCAGAACAGGCCGATCAACAAAGTGCACTGCTGAGCAGCAGCAGGGAGAGGTCTGCGGCGCCATCCCCTCCGGGGTGGGGATCGAACTCACACTAAAGCGGCCACGGCTTGGCTTGGCTTCGCCGTGCAGCACTCCAACCCCGCTGCACCACCAGGGAGGGTCCTGAATCACATTTATAAAACTGAACTTTTCTGCATTCTTACCTTGTTGTCTTTAAGGAAAAGTGCTAACATTTCTTCTCTGCCATAACGGTAGTCTGCCAATTTATACTTCGGCAATGCTGGAGAAAGAGGGGGGGATGCAATGCTCCCACCGCTAGACAGAGCTCGGAGCCTACAAGACACAGAATAGAAGATTGAGGGGTCAATTATTCCGGCACTTTGACAACTTATTTTTATGAAACTAAAATGCTTCAATATTTTTTAAAAAACAAATTTGAACATATCAAAATCTAGCTTTAATGCAAATTCCTCTCATAGCACACTAAGAAATCAGTTCATCAAGAGATTACTCGATAACCATGTGGTGTTCCTAGACTTAAAAGGCATCATGGCATATCCCTGCAAAGCCTGGAGGGTGAGGAGGGGACACATTTCCAAATTAGACAAGTAATATATAACTGGAGGCAGGCTTCAAATTTCATGTGGAATCATCTTTGAGCTCACAGAATCAACACCATGACAAAGTTCACCCTAAGCTGAAAAAAATGTATGGACATAAAACTCATCACTGATATTAAATGGTAGCTGCGGGGAGGCGACCTAGTGGAAGGTCAATGAATGCAAGGAGATGCCAACTAGTAAGCCGACAGACCAACAATGGAACGGGTGACTCAAGAAAATGGCACCACTACCTCACATGAGAAGCCTTGAAACGGGTAGGCACTGGGACTACAATGGCTGAGTTCACCAGAGAAGCCACCTGCATCCTCGTGTGCCCATCTGCGCATTTTTTTTAGTAGGACGGAAGTTGGGTATGGGCTTTTTGTATTGAATCTCTCTGATAAACTCTTAAATAGTCAAAACATGAATCAGTCTTGTAAAAGAAGCATGGTATCGCCTTACATTCATTATAGAATAAAATTTAATAAACCGGTCTATTGCAAATGTTGATAAGAACAAATAATAATGGAAAAAGAAGTATTTGTGGGATTATAAATTGAAACAATTTCAAAAAATGACTTGGTGATAGCTAATAAAATATCTGGCAAAGTATACCATACGAAATAAAAAGCAAAAGACTGAAGAAGCGAAAGAGGTATTTTTATATATACATACACCTGCAAATAGACTTACACTTACACTGTTTAAGAACATACAAAATCTAGCAAAAGCATAGAACAAATCTGAATTGCCAAATAACAGAATTCAGGATACAGTACATCTGTACAGGGAAGGGAAGAGAATGAAGGCACTGTAATTATACATGCAGTGTTTCACGGCTTCCGTTTGGTGGTTAAGTGTATGGATGCTTGTTACAAACATCTAAAAATATTACAAACTCTTAGTGTGCCTGTAATATTTCATAAACCATTTTTTAAAATGCAATGAATAATCAGTGTAGAGAATTTAAAAATGCAGTCAGGTAAGGAAAAAAACATGAGAGCTTATTTGCAGCTAAGAAGACAAAAATAAAAACATTCTCTGAGCTAACAGGAGCAGCCACCTCTGCAAATGGGACCAGGGAAAGAGGAATCTTCATTGTATAATGTTTTTATTTAAAAGGGGGGAAGAGAACCTCACAAGAAGAGTGAAGTCCTACTGCAGGACTGTATCCAACACGTGGAGAAACATTATCAGTAACAAAAGTAGCTTATTGTATCTGGGGACTTTCCAAGTTCTATAAAGCAAAAGGTCCCGGGGAAAAGGGAGCCATGCCCTTTACCTCAGCAGAGCAGCCCAAGGAAACACCAACAGAAACAAGGAAATACACCCCCCAAACTCACCATGGCAGACAAGCGGGGAATACACCAGCAACTGCAGATCTAAAATTAGCAGGAAAACCCAACAGCAAACACCCGCACATTTCCCAAAATGGCAGGGAAATGTGTGATAAATACGTGTCTCTACGTAGACACAGAAAAAGGATTGTCCGTGACGCGAGGCTGAGAGCTACCGGGTGTTCCGTAATGCTTCCGTAGCTTTTCCATGTACCACTTCATTGGGCACAATTCTGAACACACGTTAACAGTACCAAGAACATGACCAACGTACCAGTCACCCAGTCTCCAAATCAACAATCCACGGCCAGCCTGCCCCATCCACCGAACCTTCCTTTGATCTTATTTTGAAGGTAACCTTTGGATTTTCCAGATTTTCTGAAGTAAATTTTTTCAAGATTTTTGAGGAAATCTTTAAAGGAAAGTAACTCTGTCTGTAAATACATCAGACTGTTATCTCTATAGATGGCTTTTTTAATATGGATTTTGCTGGTTTTATCCCTATGATATAGCTTGACCTATTTCTCTGTTCTCTACATTTCAAGTAAGCTGGTGACTAACTGCGGAGCCCACTCAGGTCTGGCAGGCTCACTTTCCCATGGTGGTTACTCCAACAGGCACCCCACGTTCCTAGCTGGTCTGAGGCCAGCAGCCTGATGGCAAATGCTTAGCTCCCTCAGTGCAGACAACGGCCAAGTGGCTTTATCTGTCATTCCTCCTTTATCAGCTAGAGAACTTCTACAAAGAGAGACGTCCCTCTTACACTTTTTACTTGCTATTGTCATAGTTCATGTAGGAAAGAAAAGCTGTGGTTTTTATTTTTATTTACTGAATTTCAAAGCCAACGACTGAGCTCACTGAACAATACTTTAAAATGCTCAAAATGTCTCATCTTTGATATGTGAGACTCTCTGGTTGGCTCCTGGGTACTTTCCGACATAAGCCTAGTCGTCTATCAGTCTATCAAAATGTTCCAGGCTCAGCTTGAAAACTGGTTCTTGCTAGAATCAACCATTTCGTCGGTAATTTGATTCTCTTCTGTATATATAGATCACAAATGGTGCTACTGGGTCGGACTCTGTTTCTTTCCCAATTATTCTTGGACTCAGAAATCACTTAGTTCCGCTCCTATGTGACAGGTTAAACCACCAGGTAACAAAACAGCATATATGGAATCAACCCAAATGCCCAAAAGTAGATAACTGGATTAAAAAGATGTGGTACACAGACACAACAAGGATATTACTCAGCAATCAAAAAAGATAAACACTTGCCATTTGCAGCAACATGGATGGAGCTGGAAGGGAACATGCTCAGTGAGATAAGCCAGAAAGAAAGAAAAAAATGCCAGATGGTTTCACTCATAACAGGAGTATAAAGGACCAGGGGAGAAAATAATAATGAACAACTATGTACCAAAGACATTTATGGGGCAGAATGGGGAATGGGATCAAAAATGGCAGGGGGGGGGGGGGGGGGGGGGCAGGGGGGGGAGGGGAGGGGGGCAGTGCTCTAGACTACGGTGATGAACTGGTGGTGGGAAGCCCATGGGGATTACAAGTGAGATGGAAAAAGGCACAAAAGGATGTAAAAATAAACTACTTTATATACATATATATATGTATATATACTTTATATACATATATATATATATATGTTTTTTTAAATGTCCACCCAGGAAGTGATCCACTCTGAAATGAAAGACCTTCCGAGAACCCACTTTCCATCAAATTCGTGTAAAGTTGGGGCCTTCCTTGAAAAAGGGAATCACTAACCACTGAGAACTGAGGCTGGGGATTTTACACTTCCATCACCTCATTTAATCTCACTTAAGCTTCACAGCTCCAATATTATATAGATAAGAAAAATGCAGCTAAGGAGTTAAACAATTTGGCCATAGCCACAGCAGGCAGAACAAAGATTCAACCTAGGAGTGTATAACTAGAAAGACCGATACCTTCCCAATAATAAGGTCTCAAATTATTATTTAAAATAGCCAAGATTTATTTTGCCAAACATTCAGTGTTGAATATACTCACTTTATTAGAAATTATTTTAAAACCTTCCTTTTACTGAACTATTATCTGCTACTTGCTGGTTTGTACCACTAGAGGGCACACCTAAATGCTCTTTCAAGTGAAAATCATTTGCTCTTTTGGCAAAAAGGCACTTGGTCTCACCAAGACCCTTCCCTGCTCAAGGCCAGACATCCACACTCCACTCTTACAGGCCTTTCAGTGGAATCCCCTGGAAGGCTTTCCGATGTCCGGGACTGAACACTTCTCCTAGGTCCAGGATCTATTAAAAGTAACAGGGCTAGAAAATACTATCTAAAGACGCCTCCAGCTAGTCTAAGAGGCCAAAGCAGGCTGAGCGACTCCACCTAAGACAATGGCAGCCCGAATTAACATCAGGGTGGTGTTTTACTCAATAACCAACAAATCATACTACAAATCTTGCTTCACCTACAGGTATCTGAGAAAGCTGTAAACACCTGTGTTAATATTGCTCTGTAAAATCTACCAGTAACCTTGAGCTCCTCTAGGGTCCCGCTTCATATAAACCTTCTTTCTAGAAATTCCATCCCTTCCTACTCGCTTTCCATTCAGGCTCTACATCCAACAGTGATTTGTTTGAAACTCTTGAACCCAGCATCCCCCTCCAGACTAGCTTTGTTCATCTTTCATTTTTCTTTTAGAAGCATCTTCACGCATCCTTAATTCGCAGGACTTCAAATCCCTGTGCTTGCCACTCCCCACCATCACTGTTCTAGCAAAGTGCATCAATTACCTCAACACTCCCAGAGCCTTCGAAGTCTTTCTGTCCTTAACTGCTTTCAGCTTAAGGTTCATATTAAGATCTGCTTAACATAGGAGGTCCAGTCCTACAAGCAGTAACAGTTAAGGTTAACTGCAAAACCCCATGATACTCCCAGATCTTCACATGTAAAAAATGCTGTCCAAATCCAAATTTGTACATATAAAATCAACCTGGAATGTCAGTGTAGATGTGTAAAGGCACGAGAGTCAAAGATCACTTATGGAAACTCATGATTTTCAATTCCAGCTCTGCCCTCCCTGGAGTCCAGCTTTCACACACCATCAAATGTAACACACCTTAGAAACTCCAGTTGTCCAGCCACCCCTCTTTAGCAACTGCATTCCCAAAGGCAGGTAAGGAGCACAAGTAAAGGAACCATTTTTACTCCTCACACTCTAAATCTCCCATACCCAATTACCATTTCCTACCAGTCACTTTAAAAGCTAAACTTCTCGGCCCTCCCTGGTGGCGCAGCGGGTTGAAGCACAGCACTGAGAATCTAAAGCCGCTTCCTCATGGGTTCGATTCCCACCTGCCCCGGAGGTGACCACATGGCATGGCAGACCTCTCCTGA